TGGGGAATTCTGGGAGTTGAAGTCCACACATCTGAAAGTTGCCAAGGTTGAGAAACACTGAGCTAAAGGATGTCGTGCAGATGTGCCCCCAGTTAAATTGGGTGGTGATTTGGACTACTGAATGATTTCTATTGTAAACCACCTCCGGTCCTTTTCGAACGGTGTTCGTGATGTTTTGGGTTCGTTTTGCCATCTTGCAATTATTCCCCAGGTGCAGTCACTTTTGTACCTTTCTGGTTAATTGCTGGCCAAGCTGTGGATTGGCCCAGTCAGAGGCTGGGATCTTGCACCCGGCACAAAGAGCCAAAATCACACAAGGTGGGGAAATTGCAACCTGTTTATTCTGTACAGCGATAAAGAGGCACTCTCGGGACCCAAGTCACAAATCGGGAGTCCCAGTACATGAACTGGCATTGTTTTGATACACCAGGGAAAGCAAAAGCACATGATCGTTAGCAAGCAAATTATTCACACCCCTGGTTGGGCAGACCCTTGCCAGCGGTGGGCTTCTTGCTAAGGCCTTGCAGCCCCCTCTCCTCCTGTCCTTGCAGTTTAACTTGTCTAGTCAGAAGAGGGGGAGTTGGTCTCAGTCTAAGGCTGATTTGGGTCAGGATGATACAAGTTCCTTAATAACAGCAATCGCATGGTTATTCCAAGAACTTTGCAATGGGGCCTGAAGGGGAGCAATCAGGAGCCAAAGATGGGCAGAATGGGGTTTCTCTGGCTCGAGGTTCAAGCTCGCTGTACCAGCCCATTAGTGTGGTTGTTTTTCTGTTACTCTTATTGTTGTGAGCCATCCAGAGTCAGTTGGAGTCGGGCAGCATCCAAGTGGAATACATAAATAAACCAATAAAACTGGGCGGTCTACAAATGAGTGTATAAACAAATAAAGATTTGTCTGGGCTGACAAGATCAAGGGCAGGCTTTATCTTACATTCATTTGTTCTGGGGCAGTTTGATTTGGACCTCACAAAGGGCCACAGAAGGGTCAGCGGAGATGGGAGAAGGTAACAAGTTGCAGCTAGATTGAAAAGAAGTGTATGACCGATTTAAGAGTTGTAGAAGCATTCATGAAAATAAAAATACTTGAGGCTGCTCTCTGTTTTGCAGCAAGCTGGATGTCCATTTATTTTATTTAATTAAAAAAGTTTAAAATAAATACAGTCAGATGGGGCTGACTGTCACTGGCAAAAGAGTATTTGTGTTTTGTTTTTTTCAAGAAGGTGGGGAGTCCAACTATGCAGATGTGGCTGGACTAGGCAGTGACAAAGAATTACAGAAAATAGAAGTCAGTCAGTCATTTTCTTTCAGTCATCGACCAGCAGAACAAAACAAAAGAGTCACAGTTGATAAGCGTAAAACAAGCTATAAAATCATATAACAATATAACTAAAATTATAAGTTAAAGTCTTAAGAATTTGGGGCATATAAATTAATATACAGGTAGTCCCCAGGTTAAGAACGCCCAGGTTACAGGCCACCCATAGTTAAGAACGGAGCCTTTTGTAGCAAAATTCAAGCCAAATACACAATGATTTGAGTTAAATACACAATGGTTCGAGTTCATTACCCAATACTACTTATACAGTATTATACAATAATACTGTTCCGGCTTACATAAAAATTTGACTTAAGGACAAACCTTGGGAATGGAACTTGTTCCTAGACTGGGGACTACCTGTAGCAAGATATAATACAATTTATATAAGGCAGCTAAATGATTGTTTAGAATAACAGAATGGTAAAATTACCAGTCTAAAATACATAAAATCATTATTATACTGAAAGTCATGGAAAAATTGTAATTAATATTTTACATCTTAAAAAATGTAGTGATGTAATGTACAAGGAAGGACAATACATAAGGAATAATTATGGTTTCAAAACTAAAAGTTAGAATCCAGTTATAGCACCTATTTATCTACACTGTTAAAATAACTCTGGCAGCTAATGAAATTGAGGCAGAAATAAGATTCAACTGACAGTAAGGACAGAAAACAATGATATAAAGTAGAAACTAAATGGATAGCTGCATTTGAAAGGTTTCCAAACAAAATATCTAGGCGTCTGAAGAAAAATTACGGCATATTGTACAAACTATGGAACAGTATTTGGCTGTAATCACTGGAGTAGAATCAGATAGGTCTGAGTGTAGCAACTTGAGAGAAAGAATCAGAGCAACCAGAATGTGTGGTGATGAGTGGGAATCGTAAGTCCTGGCGAGTGCCAGCCTAGAGGGAGCAACACAGTCCATCACGTTCTGGCGTTTCAGTTGCTCCTTCACTGCATGGGCGCAGTCTCCACGCATAAGGGATGCTGCGGTATCTCCCTTCAATAACTGCTGCTGGGAGGGAGAAAATAGAACATACTAAGCTAGAAATAATGCAGCTGCTTGGTTTGATACCAGCAGATGTATACAAGGGTTCCACAACGGAAGGCAGTAATTTAGAATTAGAGAAACAGCATTGGGCTTCAAACTGAACAAAAGCTCTGTTCCTCTAAATGATTGAATTAGACCAAAATTCACCAGGTGCAATGTCCATCTTTGTTGTAATCCTTGAATTTCAGCATCTAATTTTCAGCGAAGGTGCAGGACCACTCTTCCTCCTCCAACCCATCTAAACTTGTTTTCCACTTCAGGCAACTGAGAATTTCATTGTTTTAAAACACTGTAATATGGAGAGCAGGTAAGCAGAGGAAGTGGCTTCATTTTAAAGGCTTTGGAAGAGCTAGAGGTCCTGCCTGCTTTTATATAGGAAACAAATGGTACACCATCTCCCTGCAATCCAGTTTGGTCCACTGCGTTATCCCTCTGCCAGTATTGATAGCTGGAGGAACTAAAGGAAAATACCTCCAGGCTTCTCCTTCTGCCCCACTCTGACTTGCATGGCCTTGAACATCTGGGGGTTCCTTATCTGCAACCCCAAATCCCCAAATTTTGCAGAGCCAATGGAAGGTTTGGGCAATTTGCCAAGCTGGCTAATGGTTCAAAAATTTGGCTGATCCAAAGAATATTGAAACTTAAAAAGGGGGGGATCAGGTGATGGAACATACTTTCCATGATGACATCACTGATTTCCACTCATGAAGTCAGGCTGCTACTCCTCAATGAGAAGCTGGTTCACAATGACTGCAAAAAAAATATGTCACTTTTCAGAAACATTTCTACCTCAGTTTTGTAGCTCAGCCTTCCAAGCACAGGGGCAATTAGTTTGACTAATGAATGATTATCAATTCCATCTTTGCTAGTGAGATAAGGAAGTGTGAGCATGGAGTAGATATGTCTAGATTCGTTGCTCCCCATAGGCCCCAAGGTTGGTGAGCTTTTTAGTGTTGTCTTATAGATAAATCTAGCTACAGCTAATGCATCAAGCCATAGCTAAAAGCAAATTATGGCTTAATGGAACTTGTGAACCCAACCATACATTCAAGTGCCTGCTACTTTCTCATACCTTCAGCAGTTGGACGCTTGGAAGGGTCATAGTTCCGACACTGGTTGATGATTTCCTGTAAATAGGGGGGACAATCTTCTCCTAAAGGCTCCTGAACCTTTTGCTTATAAACCTTCTTGTAGATTTCTTGAGAGTTGCAGCCTACAATCACAATCAGAGAGATGGCAAAATTTCACACATACAAAGTAGTGATTTGCAATGTATTTCATATCCAAAACATGAGCTTAAAGCAGCTGTTCCCGTCTTATCAGAAGTGCTCTGATGCTGTTTGAAGAGACCACACCAGCTGGCTGCCATACCAGCTTGAAATGGCCCCGTCCTGGTAAACTCAGAACAGTTGCTTCAAGCTTGAAATGTTTCAGATTCAACATTTTTCACACAATCTTAAGATAGATGATCACAAGATCAGTCTTTTCCCACCGTACTGCCCAATTAAAGCATTTTTTAATTCTGCTTTTCTACCAAATAGCTCATAGTTCAGTTAGAAAGCAAGACTGTCTCTGCTGTCTGTCATTTCATCTAAAAAAAATGACAAAAAAAGAAAAGATAAGGGGACGAGGGCTACAGGGAAACTCAGAGACCAGTTTTTAAATTGCCTAGAGGTTCCTGAAATGATCTGCCGTGACCTTCAGCTGATCATTTCAGCCGAAGAAGCTGAAGTTGACCAGTTCTGTGAAGACCTACAACACCTTCTAGAACTAGCACCAAAAAAAGATGTCCTAGAGGTTCCTGAAATGATCTGCTGTGACCTTCAGCTGATCATTTCAGCCGAAGAAGCTGAAGTTGACCAGTTCTGTGAAGACCTACAACACCTTCTAGAACTAGCACCAAAAAAAGATGTCCTAGAGGTTCCTGAAATGATCACCTGAAGGTCACAGAGGAGAATCATCTGCAGCTTTTATCTCATCAGCCCCAATGGGCTGGTCCAGTTTCCTTTCTCTGCATTCCTACATAACGTGCAGCAGGAGGGTCCATGGCAGACTGAGGCGTCTTTTGGCTACCCTGCCTACTTGTTGGCACTGTAGGGTGGGACTTGTATAGGTACATCACTGCACATGCTCAAATTCCACAAACGTTTGCTTGCTAACTAAAAACAGGCCAGCTTGTTTTCTGCCAGTAATTGCCAATTTCTGGCTCTACTGTTGCTCCTGGCCTTTTTGTTGTTGTTGTTAAGGAATAATTAAAGCACTGTTTTTATTTTATTTTTTATTGCCACCTTCTACACCTTCCACTTGAATTTTTCATCTAAATTTCTGGGAATCAAATTTTGTTGGCGATAGTGCAGAGATCCGTATTGGCCAAGGCAAAATAATAGGGGGAGTGCTTAAGCAGTGCCCTGCCAATCATTTTCTGCTATAATTCTCTCCACGGGAGTGTTGAAAGATGGGTCTTTCCTTACTGCTGCAAAAATGTGCCCGACCTGCACAAGCAGGAAGAGAGACAAGCAGGAAAGAAGTGAATCAGCCCAAATTTTGAGCAAGCTTGCCTTTTTCTCCTCAAATAAAAGGGAAGTTCTGAGAACCTCTGTGCAGATTCACAAAATCCAGCTTCCTCAAGCCAATACTCAGTTCCCACTTCCCACAGGCTCTTGACTCTGCCTTAGAAAACACCTCCATTTTTCAGCCCAGCTGAGGACCTTCCTACACAGCCATACTGAGCTGCTCTGGAATCAACGCTGCGCCCCTGGACCACTGCCTGTGCTCAGTCTCCAGCTGCTGAGCTGATCAAAGGCCAGCTATGGAAGACCATAGCTCAGCAGCATTGAGCAGAGCTGGGGGCAAGGGGAGCAGTTTCCCTTTAGCAAGACCCCCATCTCATCCTGCCTGCAAGTTGCTCCGCTTTCCTTCTTCCCTGCTGATGGGGAGGTAGGCACAGCATGGATGCTGATTTGAGCACCACCACCACCCCATTGGTCAGCAGAAAGGCAAGTCCTGAGAACTGGTCAGTGGTAAGGCAGCTGGATGAGGCTCCAGAGGTTGCTTGGGACCGCCAGGAGAAACACCCTCGGCTTTACACAGAGGTTGTGCCCCAGGACCGGTAGGTACTAGACAGGAAGCCCTCTGTGCCCTTGGTTTTACCTACAGCAACTTCCCCCAGTGGAAGAGATGTTTAATCCAGAGCTTCCCCAGAAGTGAGCCCAGCCCTCACCTGCAAAGGGGACCTTCCCAGTTGCGATTTCCCACAGCACGATCCCAAAGCTGAAAGAAAGGAAAGTGAATGTGTAGTGTAGATGCAGCCACTGTGGGACTCAGGGGTTGGCCCATATCCCCTCCCACTGAATTTGAATTACACCAAGGGTGTATCATGGCATTTTGCCAGTTCTTACCCCTCTCCCTACAGAGGGCAACCTGTAGCCAGAGCAGGATCAGTGCCAACTAGGGGTTTGGAGGCCTTGAGCAGAATGCCTCTTGGGGTGCCCCACTCTCAAAGGAAGTCTGCCTCCTCTCCTCCCCACAGTGGACCACCAGCCATAGTACTGTCAATCCTGTAGATTCATTTCTCAGAGGAACGCTGAGTTCACACATCATGCTAAACCTCAAAGTGGCCTATTGGGTGAATCCAGCCTCTGTGGCCACCAATCCAGGGTTTAAAACTGTTGGGATTTGGTCAAGCCATGGCTAAAGAAACCATTATTTAGTATGACGTTTATTATGAAATCTGATCTCTGTCATTTCCTCCTATCATCACTGCCCATTTAATGAAATCTCCAAAAAGGAAATTGGGTGAAATGTAATACTACAGAAATTACAGACATTCAGCCTCTCTTCTCAAGGGGATCTGGAGAAGGAACAGGCTAAACCACACACACACACACACACACACACACACCCCTAACCAAATTTAAAACTAACCAAGCTTAACATGACATGCCAGTGCAGAATTAAGTCTAAAATTGACCCAGTTAAACCTAGCAATACTGAACTCAGGAAAACAATGCATAACTCTTCATAGCTGTGAAGAAGCAGAAATGTGAAGGGCCAGCAGGACACCTACCTGTATATTTCACTAGCCAAGTTGTACGGATGGTGTAGGGATGCCAGGCCCTCTGGGCAGATGTAGGCTAAAGAAGAGACCTCCCTGGGGACTTTATCCTTTTTTCGACTGATAGACGACTCTGTTTGGTCCAATTTAAATCCTGACAACTGAACGGAATGGAGAGAAAGTGACTCCTCTGAAGTATGTCTGGAGATGCATCTACAGTCAATGGACTTGGGTTAACAAGGGAGTCCCTGTAATTCTGTCATTTCCCCACTTAGAGCATCTTCCAGAGTCACACACACACCCCTTGTTATACCACCATAGCAGTAATGAGGGTTTCTATCACTCGAGCGATGGCTGGGTGGCACTATGAAGATGCTATAGGTCACTAGTGAGGAAAGGGTTTGGATAGCACGTGTTTCTAAGGAACGGACTCCCCCAAATGCAGCACAACAACCTAAGGGCAGGATTACATAGGTTTTACACCAGTTTTCTCCTAACGTAATCTTGTTGAAGAGAAATACAAGCACACTCTTATAGTTCCACAATGATCAGACTTTTCTGAGGAGAAGGAATTGCCTTTATGCCAAAGGGTACATGTATATGCTATGCACAGACCTCACCTTTACACAGTAGCCCTTGGCAACCAAGAATTTGGAACTGTTGATGCAACGATGTAGTTGGCACTTGTCTCCTGTCTGGTGCAACCTGCAGCCAACACAAAGGAAGAGCTTCACCCAGTTCCCATGTACAGTTTAGAGGCAAGACTCCCATCTCCTGCAGAAGCCCACTTGCTGCCATTTTCCAGATCTGGGACAGATCTGATCACTCAAGGCCGCACCACACAGCCTCCTTGTCCTGGGTCAAAGATGTTCCAGTTTCCCTTTGCTGAGGTCACATCCTCACTATGGAATCTCCATCTCATAACCAGCTTCCTGCTGAGGCAGGGAAAAGCCTTCAAAGGAGTATTTTCCTGGGAAAACCACGTGGGTATTCTAGGTGACATGGACAAAGAGTCTTTGGTGGTTGGTACTTTGCTGGGCTCCCATTGGCCCAGTGACAACCACTCCCTCCCATCTGGCTGCTGGGTTCTGCAACCACGGTCTTTTCTGATCTGGCTGCTGAAGAGAGCAAAACCTCAACCAGCAGCTCTTCTCTTTCTCTTCTTTTCCTTTCCTTCCTTCTATGGTATGGTTGGGGGACATTGACCATAGCTATGGAAGACCAATTGTCCATCTTTCACAATAACAATCTTCCCTCTGGTAAGTAGCCTGTGTTTGTGTTCTTCCATGTAATAGTGGAAAATGCTTCCAGTTGCTGGTCAGATGAACCCATGGGGGGAAAGGGTGAAGCTGACCAGGCTGGAATATGGCTGAAATGGCTATGAGTGGGCAGCTGCTCTGGCTGCCTCCTTGCTGAGGCATAGGAAAAATACCCCCCTGGTAGGGCAGGACCCATCAGAAAACATCTGCTTCCCAAAGGTTGAACTAGATTCCCAATGGAGCCCTTCTGGAGCTTGTTGGAATAAAGGTGAAGCTAAAAATTCAGAGCCATTGTTATAAATCAAAACACAAATCTGTGATGATCTAGAAGGATCCTTGATACATGCACCACCGTGTCTATGTGTGTGTATGTGTGTGTGTGTGTGTGTGTGTGTGTGTGTCTCACAATTCCCAAAATCTCAAGAGACTATCTTTCATAACATTGCAAGATTCAGATAGGAACATTAAAATATCATAAGATTTGACAAACCTGTGAGGTTTCAGTTATAATTAAAATTAAATTATATTTTAATTAAGAGATCCAGCATGTACCCTATGAAATGTACACATGTATGCCAGTGTGTTCACAGGAATGATGTTGCCTTGCCTTACATGGTGGTTCTTTGAAGATGATGTAGCAGTTCACATACAGGAAAAGGTTGGGAACCACTGATTTACATGGCATACCACTTTCCTGTTTATTTTTAATTAAAAGAATATATTGAAAAATATTAGGTGAGATGAAGATTTGGGGCGGCAGGCAGAAAGGGAGATGTCTGGGAGCACATAGGTGTCCATGGACACCAGCTTTCTTGCTCTTTCAATAAGCAAGAATCTGACTGATTCCAAACACTGGGCACTTAAAGAGGGGGGAATTTGAGCAACCACTTGAAGCATAGGAGAACCAGCAAAGAGGAAGATAAACAGCACCAGTTACAGTATAGAACAGAAGCAGGAAAACATGATGTGTTTTCAGACCAGTGAAAATATCTGTTTTGCTTCCATTATCCCAAAAACACGTTAGGTTTTCATCCCAGTGTAAATTCTAGTTAAATGAGGGCTGGGTGGCATGACAATGGCACAGGTTCCTAACTGGCTCAAAAGCTGATACATTTTCATCAATAGTTCCTCATCAAATTGAAGGAAGGTACCAAGTGATACAAAATTCAGTTCTGGTTTTCAATATTGCTATTCAGGGTTGGGGGAGATGGTGACTATGTCTCAAAACTGCAGGTGATAAACTGGTTGAGATACTGCCTAAAAACTGAAATAAAATAACAAGTTATCTTGATTAGCTAGCTCAGCGTTTCTCAACCTTGGCAACTTGAAGATGTGTGGATTTCAACTCCCAGCATGCTGGCTGGGGAATTCTGGGAGTTCAAGTTCAGACATCTTCAAGTTGCCAAGGTTGAGCTAGAGAAATGAGCTTGAAAGTAACAGAATGAAATTCAGCATCAAGGAGGTTCTTTACCTAGAAAACAAAACTCAGATGCATATATATAGACTGGAGTTCCCTGGTAGTAATAGGTTTGAAAAAGATCTCAGAGTAATTGATTGTGAGTCAGAAGGGTGATGTGGTTGCCGATTTAGGTTGGATCACCAGAAGTCTGATTTCCAAATAATAGAAAGGAATTGTTCTACTTAATTTTACTTGAGTAGTTCTAGTTCTGGGCATGGTACTTGAAGAGAAACTTCAGAGATGATTAAGAGTCTAGAAAAAGAGCCCTACAAAGAAAGATGGAAGGAACTGGGTATATTTAGCCTTGAGAAACAATGTCTGAGTGCAGATATGGTGCCACTCTTCAAAACCAGAAGTAATGTCACATGAAAGACAGTTGTCCACTGCTCCAGAATGCATAACGCAGAATAATGAATGGAAGCTACAGGATGGTTGATTCCAACTGAATGTCTGAAAAATACTTCCTAACAGTAAGAGCAGTTCAACAGTGGAACCAATGACCCTGAGAAGTGGTGGCCTCCCCTTTGTTGCAAGTTCTTAATCAGGAGATAGATTAGCCATTTATCAGGGGTGCTTTAATTCTGGACATCTACACTGAGCAGAAGGTTGGACTGAATGGTCTAAATCAGTGCTTCTCAACCTCGGCAACTTTAAGATGTGTGGACTTCAACTCTCAGAATTCCCCAGCCAGCATTCTGGCTTATGTTTAGGGGTAGGGGTAGAGTTGGGAAAGGTTGGGAAACGCTGGTCAGAATGGTCCTTTCAATTCTGCGGTTCATAATTTGCCAAAATAAGTTTGACAAAAGTTTTGAACCATCCAAAGCAAACAGCTTCTGATCAACACCATTTCCAGAAAGACTAAATGAATGGGGATTGGTTTGCTCCCCTGGACTTCCAGCAATCTCCTGCTCTCCCCATCCCCTCCTCTCACCAATCCTCTGAGCTCTAGTAGCAAAAGGCCAAAGAAGCCCCCTTGCAGCCTGGCAGGAATGCCCTGGAAGGCCATGTGCATGCCACTGGCTTAAGCTCTGCTGCATGAGCTCTTTTATGCATATCTAATGGTTCTACGTGAGACCACTAGGCCTCTCTAGGTCAATGTTTCTCAACCTTGGCAGCTTGAAGACATGTGGACCAACTCCCAGAATTCCCCAGCCAGCATGGCTGTCTGGGGAAATCTGGAAGTTGAAGTCCACATGTCTTCAAATTGCCAAGGTTGAGAAAGACTGCTGTAGATGAAGAGCCCATGAAGCACCAGCCAGGAGTTATGCAGGCAGATGGCTGCTGCCTGGTCCCTGCTGCTTCCCAGCAAAGGAGCCATGCTGGGAAGCTGCCTGCAACCGGAGGGAGGACCAGGCCCAAAGTAGCCCACAGGTGCTGGGCAGGTCCTAGGTCCTGCCATGTCATCACCCCCTCACCATTGATGCACCAGAAATCCTGCCCACAGCCAGGCTTGTCTTGGGAGGAAAAGGAAAATACCACTTCAGAATCAGCCGAATAAAGTCAGGCTGTTAGGATGAAGGAGCATCACGAGGGGTGTTCTGTAGAGGAGCATCTTTAAGCTGGGGTCAGGGCTCTGTTGATGAGTCCTTTGCTATGACTTAAAGCTTTTCACTCATGAAAAGCCGGGGACATGTTGAAGACCACATTGGGAGGGTTGGGACTGAGAATGCTGGAAAGGTTGGGCTTGTCAGGACGGGATGGGGCCGAGAACTATACATGAGGACACACCCCTAGGAGCCTCGTGCCCCCTTCTCCCCTCCAGCTACACGTACCTGTACAGCCCAGCGGCAGCATCTGAAGCCATCTCTGTGCGAATCTTCCAAGGCATGTCAGGTTCTTTCTTCAACACATCCCTCAGGGTGCCTTTTTCGCAATACTCGGTGATGATGGAGAACTGGGGGACTGGCCCTAAAGGAGCAAAGATACTCAATGAGTGGATACTACTCCTGGGATTCTGCCTCAATTAGCTCTCCTTGCCTGGATGATCCATTCATCCATCTCAAGCCAGAACAGCAAAGGGAACCCAGAGAGGTCCACCGACCATGCTCCCTGCTCTGTTTAGCTCCTGTTCATTAAACTAAAGACATAAAGAAGAAGCTGCAAAGAAAACACCACCTTCTTTCTTTCCAAGCCACACCCCCACCCCCAGCTCCTCATCTGCAGTTTTAGAGAAATAAGATAAATAAATAAATAAATAAATAAATAAATAAATAAATAAATAAAATTTTAAAAAGTGGTTTCCACCCAGTGCCATGTTTCAAGTGTGGCTAAGGAAAAAGAAAAAAACAGGATGGAAGGGAACAACTTGAGGAATCTCTCCCATTTGCCTTCTAAGAACAGAGAGTTGCTTGTGATTGGCTCCATCCACCATGGCAGCCATTTTGTGATAGCGCCTACCAGCCTAAACCAGTTGCCTACTCCCATCCAGATTTTGTTTGACCTCTATTTCATAGAGGTACATTTTGCTTTTCCTCCAGGATCTTGAGGCCTTATGCAAAGCCCTTTCCTCTCCCATTTTCCCCTACAGAAAGGCAGGTTGTATTGGAAGCCACAGCCTGGCCCAAACTAACTGGGGTCTCCTTAACCACTTGGCCATACTTGGTTGCAGCTGGCAGTTTTCCACTTTCCTGAAATTGATCAAAGAAGCTTTCTTCCTATCCAGGGCCCCCAAGGCTGTTTGGAGACCAGCTTCAGCTTTAACCAAGTGGGGAGAGAGGGGCCCATGGGACACAGCCAAAGAGCCCCATGGCCTCTGTGCTCTGCTGCTTAATTCTCAGCCCCCCGGATGTACTTATGAGTTAGAACAGTGTTTTTCAAACCTGGCAACTTGAAGATGCGTGGACTTCAACTGCTGGAATTCCCCAGCCAGCTAACTGAGTCAACTAAAAACACTGAGTTAGAACAAAATGTCCTCCTGATATCCAACAGGATATTCACACAAAAAGGATCTGTGGCTCTGTTAATCATATTACTGGAAACGCTGAGGCTAAATGGCGGCTGTCTGCAAGGGCTTCTGGAAGACTGCTCTTGAGTTTGGATCCCTGCCCAGAGCTGTCCACAATCTGTTGAGCATCTGGGCCTGAAAAGCCAGCAATAACCCTTGCAACGCTGCCAATGTGGGGCAATGGGACCTTTCTTGCAGCCTCTCCCCACTTCCGGTGGTGGCTTCTTGCAGACAGACTCCCTTTTGATCGCCATACATGGCCAGCTCTGATTTCTGAGCGACAGACTGATAGCGGACCCCACAACTTCCCTTTTTCTTTTTTAATAATTTTATTGGAATTTTAAAAAAGAAAGATCAGAACTAACAAAAACTAATAAAGAATAAAGAGAAGAGAGAAGAAAAGAGAAAGCCAAAAGTGCAGAAAAAAGAAAAGAAAGGAAAATATTAAAAAGTAGCTTCCAATTTTCTTTACAGCAGTTCTAACTATAAATTTACCTCTTACTCTAAGGTTACGACATGTCTCTCAATATTTCTATAATCTATTTTTTTTCTAATCATAAACACCATAAGTCACAAATGCGTTTTCTTTCAGTAGAAAAGGCCCCCCTCGCTCTGCACAAAGAGAGTTTGGGGAAGTTAGAGGAAAAACCACGTAGGATTGCATCAGAGTTGCATTCCTCAAATTTAGCCTCTTCTCAGAATCAAAACTCAGCACAAAGATTTTACCACTTTCATCAATGCAGATCCCATACAGGCGCACAATGTAGGAGGACTCCAGACTCTTCAGCGTCCTGATCTCCTCCTCAAAGATCTGCCTCACCTTCCTGTGAGAAACAGCAAATGGTCAGTCCTTGGCAGGAGATGGTGGTCTTGCCCTCAAACTCCGCCAAAGGAGAGAGAAGGCTGGCTCTTGTCTTTGCAATGATCAGATAGACACATACGTCTAATTCAGAGCTGTAATACAATCCTGAGAAGGCTCCCCCCTCCCCATATTTTGGATATCCCAAACCCTCCCCTTTATTGGGCATTGACTTCAGTGAGTGTAATGGATGGGATGAGCGGGGGGGATTCTGGAATGGAAGTTCGAGGTTGTCAGGAGGGGGGAGAGGCATTCCAGGGCAAGTGCTTCCTCAGCTCGCAGCAACAAGAGTGTGGGAAGACGAAGAGGATGAGGCTGGCCTCTCCCTAGAGTCCCACAGGGTATATCCACTTGTTGCTTTAGCATAGGTTGAGTCTGGCGAGATTCTGCCTATTAGGTGCGAGCTAATAAAGGAACTGAACTGTACTGAACTGATTGCCTCGTTGCTGTTCTTGGGCTGAACCTGACAGTGAGCCCAGCTTGGTGGTAGCTCCAAGCTGACCTTGGCTGACCTCAGAAGCCCAAGCAGGGTCAGTCTTTGGATGGCAGACCACTCAGAAATCAGGGGATTTTAAGCTAGCCTAGAAGGGCAGGGACAGGCAAAGGCAACACCAAGCCACTTGCTGCCAAGAAAATGTCCATATTGATGCATCACATACATGACATGAGAAGGAGAGGTAAACCACAGGAGGTGGTATTTATCTGTGGTGTTCTCCACCTCATGGAACAGCCTCCTCCCAGAATTCATCTGGCATCTATGCTGACATCATCCTGGAGGGCCATGAAAACAGAACTTCTCAGAGGACTTCTGGGTCAGCCCTGCAAAGTAGGCCACACCAGGAAACCAACTCCACAGGAGACTAGAACTAAGCTTTATTGAGATTGGCCATAATGACAGAATCCTGCAACTCTGCTTGTGCTTTCCTCCCCTCCCTCTTATACCCCAGGGCAGGACTGCTACTGACCCATAAGGCGCCTTTCTGCAATACGTTTTCTGCAACAAGAGTGTCATGTCACATCCTGTGACAGCTGAGGCTTCCCAGTCCTTCGTTCTCCCTTTTCTGTACAACACATATGCAGATGTGTGGAGTAGTAGCTGGACAGGCTTCTTCCCCGAACCTGGCACCCTGCAATGCAGCACTGGGCTACTACCATTCCCATCATTTGGCGCCCCCATGCAATGGTGCATAACTTGCCCTGCCCCAGGGAGTTGGGGGGAGCCAACCTGAACCTCTTCCTAATACTATCTCCATACCCCGGATTTTATGAATGCTTCTGCCCTTCTTGTTTACGTAAGGTTTCAAATTCTTGCTTCAAGACCATTGCATTGTTACTGCAGACTTGGTACCTGCGTTTGATATTTTCATTTTATTATTGCTGGGCTTCTGTTCTTGCATTCGGCTATTTTCTACTTTGTGGTTTTAGCTGAGGGCAAACCACCAGGAGCTGTTTTTTACATTACACCAGTATACTAGTGCAATACTGTAAATTAATCAGTGTACGTGGACCTATTCCTCAGGTAGTCACCAGAGACATTAGGAGCCAGGTGTTTTCAAAACTGTGCAAATAAATGAACAAAGTATCACTAGAAGACAGCTTTACCCAACTTCAATGAACAAAGGCCGAAAAGTGGGGGGGACAAATGATGCGAAAAGAAAAAGATGGATGTGTTAGCTGGAGGAAGAAGGTGGCTTAAGTTAACTTTTTGACCTGAATGGCAGATTCTCCTGACCACCCTCCCCCAACACCACTTTTCACTCACTTTGTGTTGATGGTCAAAGGGTTTTTGAAGACTTTGATGGCCACGGGACTTTTGTAATATTCGCCTTTGTACAGAATGTGGTCTTTCATCTCCATCAGAAAGGTCATCTTCGTTAAAAAGTGCTTGTTTATCTCTGTGATTTCTGTATGAGTATCGTCCTGCTGCCCTGGAGGAAAGGGAGAAAGTTAGAAACAGGGTCAAACAGAACAAAAGTGAGGCCAACATTTTGCACTTCTCAATCGCAGAAATAAAACATGCCAAGGGATAAAGAGTCTTTCCAGTAATGTCTGAAGCAGTGTTTCTCAACCTTGACAATTTTAAGACATGTGGACTTCCAGAATTCCCGAGCCTGGCGGTGGAATTCTGGGAGTTGAAGTTCACACATCTTAAAGTTGCCGAGGTTGAGAAACAAGGTTGAGAAACACTGAAATCCACACATCTTAAAGTTGCTAAGTTTGAGAAAGAAGGTTGAGAAATACTGATCTCTCCAAAAGTGTTAAGTGTGGTCCCCAGTAGTAAAAAAGTTTCATTCATCCAAAAAAGTCAAGACAATGGCTGTGATGGTGTGATTGAAGCTGCATTGCATTATGTGCATCACATTATATGCATTGCACATTAAAAAATGGATGGAGCTTTGATCACACTGTCCTGGCCACCATCTTGACTTTCTTTACCACACCCTGCAGAGACTCCTGGGCCTCTCAAAGCCCTCCATCTAATTTGTGGGCTGAGAAATGAAATAGTTTCCCAACCTTCTTCGGGGAAGGAAGATCTCTCACAATTTCTTGAGGGCAATTGAATGGAGTTGGGTGAAGCTAGGGAGGTTGCAGGAGAAGGCCCATGCAGTGAAGGCCAAGATATTCACATGCCCCCTTGCAGCATCTTGTCAATATACCAGCACAAATCAACCCACTAGAATTTCACTCGCATTCTCCTCCCCATATTTTTATTTACACATTCTATTTCATCCAATTGAATGAGAACACAGTGGCATCTTCAGGGGCAGAGGGGCTTCCATTGCAACATTACTACCACCATTTGTCTGTTTTCAAGCACACAGACACATGCATAGATAACTGCTATGAAAACTGGAAGGAAAAAGGCAAGGCAGATTTTTTTCTATTTGGCACTCATTTAAAGATGCTTGGGAAATTATGCAAAATATCTTCCACCTATGATTCTGGGGTGTTCTTTTAAATTCCTCTTGTAGGATTTGGCATGCTAGGTTCTATCCATGGATAGTTTGCATCCATCATGTGTTTCCCACCTCAAAATATCAGGAAATTACACTGCTGCCTTTGGTTGTCATGATGCTACAATCTGATGGCAATGATTAGAAGATCACAAAAAAGGGGCCTTCTCCAACTTAAATTCTTGGCCCAAAGAGCATACTTAAACAGATATGTGAGACACTTCCAGAAGAAGGCAGAGCATAGGGCAGCTTCCCCTGATGAGGATCCTCCAGAGGACCCAAACACCGGAATTCCCACCCAGCATGAGTTGGCTTCTTATCTCCCATTGAAGATACCTCCCCAAACCCATTCCTATAGCTAGGCTGGCTTTACCTGCCTCTCCCCTACTCCATTTTTCAAAGGCCAACAAAATATAGCCCTACCTTTGAGCATCTCCTTCCAGCAAACTTTGTCTTCCGCTAGATCTTGGCAGCGTTCCTTGCTCACTACACACTTCTCAAAGCTAACGAGCACCTTCTGCTCCACCTGGAGCTGTAGCAAAAGCCCTTGACCCATATCTCCAAAGCGCTCGTTCAGATCTGCAAACTCTTCCAGCATGTCGCTAGCCTTCACAAATCTCTCCAGCAGGTTCTGGCTTTTGTACTTGTCAAAGAGTTCCTGGGCTTCAAGCAAAAGGTTCAACATGTCCTGCAGCATCCATTTCAGACTGGGGGACAGGTTTCTGATGGACTGAGCCCGAAGGAGCTCAATAGGTCTCAGGAGGATCTCCATGCGCTTTATAAGGCGCTCTTTCTGCTTCTTACAGTACTTCATGTTCTGGTATTTGCCATAGATGATTTTCGCAACTTCCAGAATACGCTCCACAATGTCCATGGCTGCAAGGAGGGAACAATCCCATGAACAAAGCATGACTCAGCTGGAATGGGTCCTTCATCTTACCCAGAAGATTTCAGTTACAATAGAGAACTTGTGATAGCCCACAAGTTGTCTCTTGAAACCTGTCCTGTTTTGTTATTGGGAGTCCTAATCAACAAACCCTGGGAACTGTACTTCTACAGATTCAGGTAGGAGGCTCTCAGGCCCTCCATGAAATTACAGTTAGCAAGTTTCTTTGGCAAGGGTGAAACATCATCAACATCATCATCATCATCATCATCATCATCATCTTGTGAAGCCAACCTGCATTCGCAGTATTTCAGACTGGCTGCATGGCAGGCTAACTGCAGACATTATGAATGCAGTCATGGATTGCAGACATGGGTTACCCTCTTTGCTTGATAGGGAATTTGGGTTCCTTTTGAAACCAGGGAGAAGCTGCTGGATCAAAGTGGGAAATGAGGGGGATTCCACATCTCCCACAGCCTCAGAAATAACAGATTGGAATTTCCAGGAAAAAGGGAAATCCAAGTAAAAGGGAAGCAGGGTGAACACCTTCTTCAAGAATCTTGCTTATTTCTGTCAAAATAGGGGAACAACCCCCAGGAATCTGCAATTAAATCTTGAATTGATTTTGATGTGTGTGTACTGTTTAAAGCAGTGCTTTTCAAACCTGTCAACTTTAAGATGTGTGGACTTCTTAAAGATGCTGGCTGGGGAATTCTGGGAGTTGAAGTCCACACATCTTAAAGTTGCCAAGGTTGAAAAACACTGGTTTAAATCTTTACTGTCTCTTCTGTTTATGTCTCTGTATAAATGGGCAAATAGTATATAATTCCCATATCATATATTTTGGGTTCTGTTCATAAATCTAACTGTAAAATCCAGAGTTGAACAGTATTCAATAAATAAATAGTCATACCTCATGCTACAGAATTTATTTCATTTGTATCAGCTTTTTCTTTTACTTGCTGATAAAGTACATGGGCTATGGGATCCCTATCCCTTTCACATGCTCGGATTAACAGAGAAGATGCCAAGTAGAGCCATCCTTCTGGAAGATACATGGTGGCAGGGGCAACTACCACACAGTTATTCCAGCATGGGAGGCAAGGCTAGAGAGTGCGCACTCAAAAGGGTTCTGAATCTTCTTGACCCACCTTTCATCATGTGGGCTCATCCTGCTCTTCATTTGAAATCATGGAGGAGAATTATATATTATTCTAACTATCTTAAAAACCCAACAGCAAAACCAATAAGACATTGATGATAATATACAAAGCCCTGAAAAATACAAAACCAGGCTGAATAATATCCTCAAGTACATCACCTCCTAGGCACCTATGATCTTCAAGGGATGACCCACTCTCCATTCCAGTATGTGTGGAGATTGCTAGATGATTGGTGCTTTCAAGTCGGTGTTGACTCCTGGCAACTGCCTGGACAAATCCCTGCAGTTGTCTTGGCAAGATTTCAGAAGTGGTTTGCCATTGCCTCCTTTCTAGGGCTGAGAGAGAGTGACTGGCCCAAGGTCACTCAGCTGGCTTTGTGCCTAAGGCAGGACTAGAACTCAGTCTGCCGGTTTCTAGCCTGATGCCTTAACCTGGTTCTCCCCAGCAAATGCAGATCCCCAAACTGCCCTGGAGTGGCAGCCATGCAGTCTGGAAAAGAGACAGCTCCTTCAGGAGTTGGAAGACTGGTGCTACTCGAGTGTCTCTACCCACCCCAAAGCACCATTTTGCCTACCAATGCAAAATACTGCACAGACCTATATAGAGAGATCTATAATTGTATTATGGGACCTTTAGTCTGGTCATATCTCAGGTGATAGCACGTAGGGCAGACCAGTTAATCCTTAGATGGTAAACCATCAGGAGATCCCAGGACTGAAAGCTAGACCTGAAGGTCAAGGAAACATCCTGAAAGAAGGCAGGGCCAAACCTCTTCCATATTAATGCCAAGAAAACTTCACAGACATGACCAAGAAGACACCAAGAACTGAAGTCAACTTCAAGGAAAGCTTACTTTGACAAAGCATAGAATGCAAGTATAGCATTATAACTCTATTTTGGGGAAAGTGCCCTGCATTAAAACTTTAATACAGGATGTGAGCAGTTACTCTTCAGCTTTTCTCTGCCTTCATCCTTCTCACACTCAATTGCTCCCCACCTAACATTTTCTTTAAGTTCAACATGGCCTCAACAATTTAAGAGTATGAGCTGCCACCCTTGCATGTCACCTCAGCCTGAGAGCAGCAGCAACTTTCCTTTTCCCCCAACCCTCCTCCAGCTTACCTGGGCTCTCTGAGATGGCCTCTCCCTGTTTCTCTGTGTGATCAAAAGTTGGCTTCAAATGTTCAGCAAAACTCCCGCAGTTCCTCTTTCCCAGATGCTGGCCCCTACTTCCTGCCAAAATTGACGAAAGGAGTTATGCAAGTTGGGAAATCCTGCCTGCCTGTCAAGTTGTAAAAAGAGTTTCAGTTTCTGAAAACATTTCTAGCTCAGCAGTTGAACACTTGCAAAAGATCTGGAATGAATTCTTCCTTAAACTGCTGATGAAATGCCTGATACTGCTGGTTAGTAGTATGAGGCTATAGACAGACTTTTAAAGTTTTCTATGGAGCATTACAGAATGTGCAAGCATTGGAGCAGCCACATCTGTTTCCAGGACTGCACAGCTGCTCAGTGGAGACTTGGCTGTTTTAATGAGTCACAGCCAATTGCACTCCCACATAACAGCTCTATTGAAGCATTTGATATAGCCCTACAGACTATACCAGATCAATAGCATTTAGCTAAATGTAAAGTCTTGGGGAAAACATGGTGTTCTTCTGAAGCAGCCTATTCACAAGGTAGACCTGTAAGTGAAAGTACTGTCTTGGAACACCTTCGGATTCTTTTTATACTATGAATGTCCACTTGCTTGTCCCATAGCCCTCTGGTGCTCAATGGACTTGATATAGGCCAGTCAGAAGACTTCTGTCCTCTCTAGAAACTAAGTTTTGAATTTGGCCATAGTCACATATACTATATCCCTTGCTACCTTTATACTTCTTAGCAGTGCCATTCTACCAGCTCTTCCATTTGCAAGCACTTCCTAATGCCTTTAAAACCAACCTTCAGTTCCTCCACTGTCTTCTGCATCTGTGAAATGTTTCAGCATGATGTTTTCATCTGCTTCTGGACAGGAGTTCAACCCACACCTGTTGCCATCACTTGATGTTTGGTGAGGAGGTAGAAAGCAATGCTGACATGGAGACCACCTCTCATCAGGCCAAGATTGTCCCAAGCTCTTCAGTTACCTGAAAGGAACAACCAGAAGTTGTCCTCTTCCTACTCAGAATAAGAAAAGTGAATCTTTGTCATGGGGAGCTCCGACTCAAAGTCAGAGTCTGAGGAGTAGGCGCTTCCAGAGGTACAAACTGAAGAAGAGCCGGTGCAGTCAGAGGCACCAGACGGACAGCCGGCTGAGCAGCCGGAGGAGGTGGGGCAGGGCAGCGAACAACAGACACAGCTGGTCCCACTCTCTGATAATGAAGCACAGAGGCTACGGCCTCCCGATGCCAGAATGAGGCGCATGGGAAAAAAAGCTCAACAACGATGCTCAGCGAGATTACTCGCGAGAAAGGAGCCTCGCCCTCGGAAATAAGCAACACCAGGGCGGCTACCTTAAAAGAGGCTCGGCAAGGTAGAGCCTCTCTGGTAACAACAACCATCTGGTTACCCTGCTTCGTATCTAGTGCCTTAGAACCTTTCTCCTATGACACCTAGACCCGGGCCGGCTGATGACCAACGATTTCTGTTTTGGCCTCGGTGTTGGCCACGGGGTGACCAACTGTTTGGGACACGTTTCTTTTACCCAGTGCGAGAGAGGGCCAAATTACGCACAGAGTAGAGGGAAGGCTTTGACATTTTATTTCTGTACAGAAGCAAAGAGGCGCACTCGGGACCAAGATCCAAATCGAGCGCCCAAAGCTTTCTATACATTTCACTAAGCAGGTAACGTTCATCACAATTCTTATTGGCTGAAACAAATCCACGGGTGAATTACATCATGTCCACGCATGCTGCAACTATAATGTCAGAGTCTGCACACTCATTCCCATTTAAATTTAAATTAAAATTTCCTAGAGTCCAATATGTCTTTAACTTCAAAATGGCTTTGACCATCAATCATGATGGGGTTTGGAGGTTGTACTGTTGGATGCCATATATTTGATTGTTTGAAGGATTTTAATAAATTCACATGGAAAACTGGATGTATATTCCTGTAATGTTTTGGTAGAGTTAATTTAAAAGCTACAGGATTAATAATTCTTTCAATGGGGAAAGGTCCAACGAACTTTGGGGCAAGCTTTTTACATGGCTGGGAGGATTTTAGGTTCTTGGTAGACAGCCAGACCATGTCGCCTACTTTCCAGGGAGGGTTTGCAGAACATTTTCTATCAGCAAACTTTTTATGTTGGTTCCTGGCCTTTTGTAGTGCTTCTACAATTTGAGGCCACAGTTTTGTAATGTTGCTTATCCATTGATCAGTTGAAAGTTCAGGAAAATCCTTTAATGGTAGTTCTGGAAAAGGCAGAAAGTCTTGACCAGTAGCTATTTTATAAGGTGTGAATCCAGTACTTTGGTGCACCGTGTTGTTGTAAGCCACTTCAGCAAAAGATAAAAGTTCTGACCAATCATCCTGTTGGTGATTAGTAAATCATCTTAAATATTGTTCTAATAATGAGCTAATTTTCTCAGTCGATCCATCCATTTCCGGATGAAAACTTGAACTCAGGGCCTGAGTTGAACCAATTAACATAATAAATTCCCTCCAAAACTTGGAAGTGAACTGTGGGCCGCGATCTGAAATTACCCTCTTGGGGGCACCGTGGAGGCGGTAAATATGAAGAATAAACAATTTGGCAAGCATTAACAATTTTTTAGCATTAGGAATTTAAGTACATGGAACAAAATGCGCTTGTTTAGAAAAAAGATCAGTTACAACCCAAATAACAGTATTATGGTTACTTTCAGGTAAATCCACAATAAAATCCATAGAAACTTCTTTCCAGGGTTGTTGAGGAGATGAGACAGGTTGCAACAATCCCAAAGGTTTCCCTCCTCTCTTTTTTGACATGGCACATATAGGGCATGTAGATACATATTCAGAAATGTCTTTTCTCATGGTAGGCCACCAAAATTGCCTATGTAATAAATGCAAAGTTTTTATAAATCCAAAGTGTCCAGAAGTTTTGTCATCATGGCCTTTTTCTAAAATATGTTTACCTAGTGAAGCTGGTACATGCAATTTATCTCCCATCCACCAGGCTTGTTGTTCATGGGTTAAAGTATCTTTATTGTTTTTGAACCATTCATCAGAGTCCATTGCTGCATTTAATTTCTGAAGTAGTTCATTAGCAGGTGCTGGTTTAGGAGTTTTAGTTTGAGCTCTGGTAAGTGCTACTGAGCCAGGTTGTGATTTAGGGATAACAGGAGCGACTATTTGCTCTCGTTGGCTGTTGTGTTGAGGCAGCCTGGATAATGCATCAGCCAAAAAGTTTTTCCCTCCAGGGATGAACTTCAACGTGAAGTTAAAGCGGCTAAAAAATTGAGCCCAACGTACTTGTTTAGGAGAGAGCTTTCTAGGTGTTGTAAGGGCTTCTAAATTTTTATGGTCTGTCCAAACTTCAAATGGATGCGGTGATCCTTCTAAGAGGTGTCTCCATA